TAGTAAGGTCTTTGTAAATGGATTTATTTAAATGAAAGTTATTTGATTTAAAGAAAAACATTTGTGGAATTAAATCATCTAGAACCTGATTAATGTTGGGAAATGATGGCTGAGGCTATAGCCATGCTCAGAGACTCAAACTGACCCAAAAGTTACAAGTAGACCAGTCTAATTAATCAAAGGCAAAATATTTCAACTTTGCTGACATGTGAACAGGATTTCAATTGATTATAGAGATTTTAGGTGTGGTACCTGTCCAGGCTGAATTACCATCACTCATCTATTTCCCATAAGTAAGATTGTATCTCTCTCTCTCCCTCTCTCTCTCTCTCTCTCTCTCTCTCTCTCTGTGTGTGTGTGTGTGTGTGTGTGTGTGTGTGTGTGTGTATGTGAGAGAGAGAGAGAGAGAGAGAGATTAACTACTCTTCATAAGCAAATGCAGAGAAGCAGCTGAGCACAGAGTAGTGCAAGTGTGTAGTGGAGTCTGTGGTAATCACTAGGCCAGTCTGAGCACACAACTCCAAAGGTGCTCCACAAGTCCCCCCCTAACCTTACACTATTCCCACCTGGTCAGATGCAGAGTAAATGAATACAAGGAAGACTACACAGTATATTCTATTCAATGGAATAAGACTGAAACATTTAGTGCCAATTAATGTGATTTTTCCAGTATATGATATAAGGATTTAAAAAAGTTAGTTTTGAAAAAACAAGGGTCTCCTTTCCTGCCATCACTGCTTGATAGAAGAAATCTTAAGTGATGATTTGCATCAGTCACTGAGCCAGTCACAGAAGTACAAGTAGCAGCCAGAATAGACAATGACTGCTGTGGAAGCAATGAGTTCTGCACAGCTTATGAGTCAGAATCAGTCCAAGGAGCTTCAGACTACCCATTCCTGGGTCCTGCAAGTGGAGATTCCAATCCAGCAGGTCTGCAGTGGGCCCTGGGAAGCTGTCCATCTAGAAAGCTTCCTTGACTCAGACGCACTGCAGGTTTGGGGATCCACTAATTCGAATTACATTTTTAAATCTGAAACTCACAGTAAGAAACATCTTGCTCTTAAAACGCTGAAGAGAAAGACGAAGCATGCTGAAACATTTCAAAACATTAAAACAACTACAAGAAAACATGGCATTAGAATGTAGTTTCCAAGAAAGGAAGTGGTCTATACATTGAAAGCAATCAAGCTATGAAATCCTGGAAATGCCAAAATGATAGTACAATCACTGACCATCACAGAGCAAATAGAAATCCTGGTTAATCATTAATTCCTGAAAAGGCAGCTTGCTAGCAAAAGAGCACTTCTTACTTCTCTGGATAATAAGTTGCTCAGCAATTCACAACAATTTTATCACCAACATCAAATAATTTACAAGCCTTGCTGCCACTGTGGCATCCTTTCCTGTCCTGGCAGCTGTGGTTTTAAAAGAACTGTCTGTTGGATTTTGTAGCAACTACTTATTTGTTCATAAAAGTCACAGATGAATATCAGCAATACATGAATTCACAGAAGACTGCCCACAGATTTTCACCACTTTTATCAAAGAAAATACAACCCCTTGGCAAGTATGAGTTCTTCATAACACACACAGTTCCTGACTTACAATAGTTGAACTTAAGGATTCTTGGCTTTACAGTGTTGTGAAAGCAATATTCATTCAGTAAAAATTACCCTTTTTGAACTTTGACCATTTCCCAGGCTAGTAGGCCATAGGATCTTCTCTCATGATCTGGGCAGCAACAGTACCCAGTCAAACACAACCTCAGAAGGGGAAACAACTGCTCTCCAAGAGGATGGTGTTGCTAAAGTAGGATGCCCTGTAGGTTAGATAGATTTAATGCATTTCAACCCCCGATATTTTGACCTCACACTGGGTTTGAGACAAACCCCATTATAAGTCAAGGAGCACCTGTACTACAAAAATAGACTACTCAAGCAGGGTATCGGTGGCTCACGCCTATAAACCCAGTTACTCAGGAAGCACAGATCAGGAGGATCTTGGGTTAAAGCCAGCCCGGAGAAATAGTTCATGAGACCCTATCTCAAAAAAACCCTTCACAAAAAAAAAAAAAGAAAGAAAGAAAAAAGTGCTGGTGGAGTGCTCAAGGTGTAGGCCCTGAATTCAAACTTCATTACTGGAAAACAAACAAACAAACACTACTCAGAGAAGCTCTGAACTTAAAAAATTCTGAATTTGTAAAGCATTTTTTGTTGTTATTCACTGTGCAAAAAAAAAAAAAAAATTGCCCTACTGGAATTTCATTAAAAAAGCAAAGGTTTCCAAAAATACTCTTTCTAGTCACAACCCCTGTCCACAAAAAAATGCATGAGACAGTGGTGGCACCAAGAATAGCTTTCAGCCCCATGGACCCTGTGCACATCTTCTACTCTCCAGGTGAGAGGGGTGGTACTCTAGGGCTACAATAAGATGCCTCCTTCCAACTTCATGTAGCCACACTCCCACCACCACCACCACCACCAATCCATCCCCAAACTCCATATGAACTCCAATAGCACTCTCCACAGCTACCAAAAAGAAGGGACTCTGTCCATACTTCTAGCACAATCCCTCTTTTTTTTTTTTTAAATAAAGAAATGAAGTTTATTTGGCTATGTCCTAGTCACCTTTCTATACAATCCCTCTCTTTGGGCACTGAGCCCTCATCTTCCAGCCAGGAACTCTCTCTTCCAACACCTTTAATATTTCCCTTGCCACTAGGGGGACCTCAGTCCCTTGCCAGTGGCTTTGTCAGTTACACTGTGCTAGGGATTGACAAAAAAGGCAGAACTGAGATTTTAAAATATTTTTCCTTACTCACACAATGACATTGTAAAAACAAGATAGAAGAATATCAAAAACAAACCTCCAAAAAATGTGCTGTCAGTACTGAGTGAGGGAATACTAGAATGGGTGACCATGAGTATCTTTCTGCCTAAGAAAACCCTGGAAGAAGTAGCACTAAGTGTTTCTTCTTATACTTCCTTCTACACTTGATCTTAGCCAAAAGGCCGAGAAGCGATTCTTATACTTCCTTCTAATCCACTCTATATCACTTCTCTGCAGCCTCACTCAGTCATATCACTCTGGTTCTGAAAACCTGCAAAAGGCCTCCACTGACCCACACAAAGGGCAGAGGTCTCTGATGAGCAGTGAGGCCCTGTGAGCTAGTCTCAGCCTGCCTTTGCACATGGCTCATCCACACATGGATACATCAGCTCTGGCTAATGGGGACTGTATAACACATTCCCGACAGCCTGGAATTTCTTGCCTCTGAGCTTACTCATGTCATCCTATTGTCAGTTTGGAGCCACCAAATATAACTGTTAAGTGCACAAATGTGCAACCATGTGGGGCAATCCTGTCTATTCTCATCAAATCCTCCCAATTTTAGAGGATTATATATCATTAAAAATATTTTCTACATTTACCACAATGGACTTGTATCTCATGTTTAAAATCTGAGAAAAAAATTATAGAGGAATAAAAACCCACTCTAATTTTCAAACCTTAATGTGAAAGGTATTTTCTCTAAGAAGTCTTCAGAGTTATTCATTGGGAAGCAGTCTGTGCTCCTCATTCTTAAGGCCTTGTACTATTTTTAACTCTAGATACACATCTTCCTGAATCTATAGCTATATCTTTATGTCTTGCTCTGATCCTCTCTAGGCATTGTACTAGTGGCTTTACCTATGGTTATTTCAATCAACCACTGCCAGGAATCTGTAATGTTGGTATTATCACCCCTGTACTATAAAAAAAGGAAACCATGGTTGGATAACTTGCTAAAGGTAAGTTCTTGTAGGCTTAAATTTAAATCCAGTCTAGTTCAGCTTCAAACTCCTTAACTCCAAAATACCTGGCAACTGACTTAACTGCTGTTTCCAATGGCAGCCTCTGAGAGTCTTAGGCAGAGAGACAGTTATCTTACTCATCTTTGTACTCACTGGTACAGACCCCAGGGCCTCACTAAGGAGCAGGAACTCAAGAATCTTTCTAAGTTTAAAAAGATACATTCCTTGGGAGAAAGAATGTTGGGATGTTGGTTATGATGGTGTGCCTCTTAAAACAACAGCAGTCCTATATTAAGCCCTGAAATTTCTACCTCTAAAAGCATCTCTAAACTATCCAGTCCCTCCAGCTCTAATGCCCCACCTGAGTCTCAGTCCAGGGTCTACTCTTGCCTCTGAACTATTCTCTCTGCTTCTATTCTTCCCCCATATTCTCTTTTCAGTAAATCAACCAGTTAGGAGGGACTGTGTTGCTCCCTCACATAAACCTTGGTGGATCCTAAACTGTTTTCTGCCTTGGCTTGGGAATAATCAGGCTCCTGTTTCTAACACTGGACTCCTCTGCTTTCTACCTCTTGTGACTGGCCCTCTACCACCCTGGCCTTCTCCAGTCTATGTGCAGGCTGCTTCCTCAGCACCAAATGCTCTTAGTCCACATCACTACCTGGCTTGCTCCCTCTCATCACTTAGGGCTCAGCTCATGTCACCTCCTGAGATGCCTTCTTTAAACACTCTGCCTTCAGAGAAATCTACTTTCATTCTTTGCTTCAAGCTTGCATTTGTAGCAGAAAGCAATGAGGAAGAAATGCCCAAATATTGTCTAGTTAACTACTGAATTTGGAACTTTCAAAATCACGTTTTCTGTTGAGAAGGCCATGCCTCTAAGTTGTATGTGTAATTTTTAAGTGCACTGAATTGATAGCCAGACACTCAAGAAGGAAATAAACCTGTAAGTACACAGATGCAACATTTCAAAATTTTGTAAAAGACATTTTCTCTAACTTCGATGAAAGTCAGAAAATGCAAATCACTTACAATAATGAAAGTCAAAAAATCTCCAACATCTGAAAGATATTAACCATTGTATGAATTAGAAAGCCTACCTGTAAAGAAGAGACACTATACCTTCCCTGTACCATCACTGGCTTTCCGTTTAATCCTGCCTTTCCTTTTACCTTCTAATGACTTTTTAAATGATTAAGCACTTACCATAGTGTGACTGAAATGCCTGCGGTTTGACAACCTGATTACAGTCATTACACACCACCAAGTAGAAATCATCATGGGCTGGGCAGAGACCAAATATCGGCATGTCTGCAACAACAACACAGAGCATCAGTCACTCATCCAGTTATAAGATGAAATCATTGAAGGAATAATACTTTCTAAACAAATTGCCTTATTATAAATGCACAAGGACAAATTATCACACTAGTTTAAAAGTAACAGATGTGGCATATATGATTAAGAGAGAAATCAAATCAGGCTAAAAGAAAGATTTTACAAAGGGTCAAAATAAAATACACTGCATTATGAGGTATTAATAGACAAATGTATCAGAATGCAAGCACTGAATACATTCACATGAAAGCTTTAGATGAACTCTACACCAAGAGTCAGGGGTAACAATCTGTAACCATACACATTAGTATTTCACACAACTGTACCATCTAATGGTTTAATTTGTTTGACTACGCATTCTAATTCAGTCATCTGGTCTGTGAGTCCTATAAACCCATTAAGAAAGGGAGCAGAGAGATGACTAAAGAGTAAAACTGCTGGTTTCTGCAGTATATAATGGAAAGAATTATTTTTTAAATTTTAACTTTTATTTTGGTTGTACTGGGGTTTGGACTCAGGACTTCACACTTGCTAGGCAGGCATCTACCACTTTAGCCAGGCCTCCAGCCCTTTTTTCCTCTGGTTATTTCTGATATAGGGCCTTGCTTTTTACCCAGGCCAGCTTCCTCATGTAGCTTGGATGACAGGGTACTAAGACAGGGTCTTGGGAACTTTTTTGTCTGGGCTGTGCTGGAACCATGAGCCTTCTAATCTCAGCCTCACAAATAACGAGGATTATAGGCATGAGCTACCAATGCCTGGTTGAAAGAAAATTATTTTTATATATTTTTTCAGGTCACAATAACCTCTAATTCTTCTGCTTACTGTTGCTACTAGATACAATAACTTCAGTACAAACACAGTATTTCATATATTAACTGCAGTTTGGTCTCTAGAATAAGGGAAGAGACAAGATTTTTTTGTTTATTTTTATAGAAAGTCAACTAAAATGCAAAAGTGAAGCTAAACTGTCTACATATACATGAAAATTCAAAGTAACTTCATTCCTTGTAAATATGGTTAACCAAAAAGGAAAATAACCTAGGAAACAGAGCTACAGGTTTAGCTCCAAAATCTAAATTCTTTAACTATTTCAAAAATGTGATTTTTCAAACAAGCATTTTATACAAATGCACTATTTAGAGTATCCGCAATGAATGGATAGGTAGTGCATTTCAATCCAGCAAATGTTTTAATAGACCAAATGCTATTTTTAAAGAAGGAAAAAGTGGCTCAACTGGTAATGTGCTTGCCTCACATGCACTGGGTTAGATCTCCAGTACCGCTGAATGAATAAGTGAATGAATGAGGAAAAAAGACCCAACAACTGATTAGCATTTTCTTTCTTTCTATAAACATTTAATTTCCCTTTCTCCAGCATGTGTGTTCTTGGTGCTTTTAATGGGAGAAGAAAATGCCCTGAGACACTGTCAAGTGATGATAATCTCTAAAACATCAAATTCCGGATCTAATATTTACACACAGCTATAGCCCAGATTTTCTTGAATTGCACAGATAGCTAGCTAGCAATCTCAAATATGCCAGGGTCCTACATGATTCTGGGATGCAGCTGCAGCCTTGAGTAGTTTCTATGTGCTATTATCTCATTTTATCCTCACAACTACGGATACAGATAACTATCATATCACCATCTTACAGAAGAAACTGACCCCCAGAGAGGTGAAGAACTTTGTCTAAGGTCAATAGCTGGGATTGGATTCTGATGCCTAATGATGGCTTGGATTTGGTACCCCATGAAGACCAAAGGAATGATTTCCGAACATTTCATCTGGATTCCAATTCCAGTAAATTGGAATGGCAGGGCTAAACACCTTTGATTGCATAAACTGAGAAGATAATGTAACAACTGCCAGTAGACTGCTGATTTCTGTGACTAAGCTTAATTCTTTAATGAAAAGTAAGAATCAAACAATGGGCTATTTCCCTTGAAGGCGTGGCCACGCTGAGTTAAATACAGTTCACGTAGGAGGGGAAAGGTTATAACCCATGCACTGACTGACAAATATAATAAGCCACTTTCCATGTCTGTGTCTTAATATTATAGTTCCTTCTCAAAAATAAAATTACACAGTAGTTTAGCCTAAGTTCCATTATATCCCTGTACTAAATTCCTCTGATATGACTATCAATTAGGAAAATTCAAATTACATAAGTGGCATAACTTTCATAATTCACAGTTGAAAAGTATGAAATGTCTATAAATACCAAATCAACAGTTCCATTAATGAAATCAAGCCAATTAATTTTATTAATAAAATAGGAGTTAAACAGCCTTAAATCAATGGTCTCAATTTAGTTTTAGCCTCTGTGATGTGATAGTTTGTATAGTTGCGTACAGAAGTAAATGACAAGAAGTTCTGTTTAAAATATATCCTTTGTCAGATGCTAGATATTCTGGGAGCTGGCTTCCTACCCCTTTAAAAACACAGCAATGGTTTTAAAGTGGTGGGGGTACAGATCAGTGGTAGAACATTTGCCTGTCATGTGTGAGGCCCTGGGTTCTATTCCCAGCACACTAACAAGAACCTCCCCCCTCCAAATTGTACATATCCTTTCAAGTAATAGAGATTCAAGTTTGCTACAATTATGTATTATGTTTACATAGAAAACAGTTCTTTTTTTGTCCTCCTTCCTTTCATCCTTCTGTGAAACTTATGACTAGTAAAACAAAGAAGGCAGGGGTTACTCTGTAAGGGACCAGGAATCTATACTTCTGTAAAAAGTTCAATTTCCTCAATAACTTAAGATCATTTGCAGTTGATAATGACAGCAAGGATAAAAATCACAATGACAGTTCACATTTGTTATATTACTATGTGCCAGATCCTGTGGTAAGCATTTTTCATATGGCTTATGCCATTTCTTTTTGTTTCACAACTCCTCCTCCCCCTTCTATTATTATTATTATTATTATTATTATTATTAATTTTGCAGTTCTGGGGTTTGAACTTAGTGCCTCATGCTTGCTAGGCAGGCACTCTACCACTTGAGCCACTCCACCAGCCTTGTTTTGCATTGGATATTTTTAAGATAGGGTCTCACAAACTATTTGCCTGGGCTGACTTCGAACCATGATCCTCCTGATCTTTGCCTCCTGAGTAGCTAGGACTAAAGGCATGAGCCATTGGCACCTGGTTAGATTATTATTATGTTTAACACATTAACTGCACAAATTAATGGGATTCACTGTGATATTTCCATATCCACCTGCATCATGCATTGATCATGTCCATCTGCCCTTTTACCCTCAGCCTTCCCCAACCCCTATCTCAATATTTCTAAAAATAACTCTATAATACAATATTCATTTTAATTGTCTTTCAAGAAAGCAGCACAACAAAACTCAGGTTTGCAGGATCTGTAAGCTCAGTTCTTAATCTTTAATTAGCACACTGCATCTTTCTAAAAAGATGTACACATGTGCAATCCACAGACACCGTGGAAAGAAACATAGCATTCTTAAACTCTATTCATGCTGCCCTATGAAACAGAGGTGCTGTCATAAAAATCTAAAGCAACTTTAATTCTGGCTTTCTAAATTCTTTACTTTCAGATATCCATATTTGGATGTAGGCCAGAGGACACAAAATAATTTAAATAAAATGTCTTCAGAAAAAAAAAAAGGAGTTCTATATTCTTTTTCTATACTGGGACATTCCAAAGGCCTTAGCAACAGGAACAGAGTATGGAACATTGTGGCAACAGAAAGAAATGAAATAATCTGTGTGACAGGCACTATATAGGTTTCTGAATATTTTTAAGACATAAATTTGCAACCAACCCACCCAAAAATTAAAATATGGCTCTTGTTCAAATCCAGAGAGAAGTGTGACTTATAATAGAATAAAACACTGAGTTACAATTGAATTTAAAAGTTTACAAAATGCACTTTTAATATATAACTGAAACTACCAGTTATGTACTTGAGTTCATGGATTCAGAATTAATTTGAAATGGATATTATTGTTGTTTAAGCCCTAAATTTTTCTCAGGATTTGGGTCACCCCTATCGCCTCACAAGTAAGAGAGTGGGCCAGTACCTACATGTAGGGCATCACATATTTTGGGAACCCCAGGCCAGCATACTGGGAAGGACACACTGGTGTCCTATGCAAAAAGAAGGCTTTCTGGTAGAAACTGAACCTCCAGCAGTTGTGAATATATTTAGTAAACTTTGATGCTGCTACATCCATTTTGAAGACTGTGCTCAACAACAATGGAACCTGAATGTTATAGCAAAGCATTTAACCTCTGCAGTATCCCAAGTGTCTCCCTTCTCTCATGTATCCCCACCTTCTACATAACAATGACTAAGTTTCTCTCTTCAGCCCAGACTACTCTCAAGCTCTGTCTAGATTCACATCCACTTGCCTACTAGACACTGCCATCTTCATGCCTTACATACATCACAGGCGCAACAAACACATCCAAGAGAACTTCACTGTTGACTCTGACCTGCTCCTTGTTCCCAACAACCTTTCACTATTTTGGTAAATCATTCTATTCATTCCTCAATGGCTGAAGCTAAAAACCTACATGTCACTCAACTCCTCTGTCCCTCATCACATCCATGTGACCTGCAGGTCCATCAGCTCCATTCTAAAAACATCTGTCTACTCTCTCACTGCCATAGCCACCATTGCAGGGTCTGCCACCAGCACTCTTCCACTGGATTGTGGACAAAGTCTCCTGATCAGCACGGGAGTTTTGACCTGCTCCGTTTCCGACCTGGGCCGGTTCACCCCTCCTTAGGCAACCTGGTGGTCCCCCGCTCCCGGGAGGTCACCATATTGATGCCGAACTTAGTGCAGACACCCGATCGGCATAGCGCACTGCAGCCCAGAACTCCTGGACTCAAGCGATCCTCCTGCCTCAGCCTCCCGAGTAGCTAGGACTACAGGCGCGCGCCACCGCGCCCGGCTGGACAAAGTCTCCTAATTGATCTTCCATTG